GCTTTCTTTCGTCCAATCTCGTTCCAAATTCAACACCGGAAATTGAAGTGGTGCGTTCCTATGGTGGTCGGTGAGCCTCGGAGCCCTCTTCATTGTTGCCCTGAAAATGCTGCTGCTCTCTCACCATTCTGTAGTTTTGGACACCGAGAGACCGAACTCCGATCGAACTTTGTTTGACGACAAGGTTTTGTCCGAACTTGTTCTTAGCATTCTCCTCTCGTCGTTCGCGGTTAGCCTGCGCGGGCATCCTGTCCGCGTGAGGGCTCTGTAGTCTTCAAATATATTCGAACAAAGCTGAGGGATCTCATGACTCTCCTAATTGCCCTTGTACCGAACCTTGTATCACGAAAATTTCGATTACGTGTTCTTCTTTTAAAGAAACATGCCATGCCATGAAACAACATTTGTGCTGTCGGGAGTTTTCCTATACGTATGAAACGGCAAAAAAATCGGAAATAGTCTATATAAACGTTAATATAAAAGTTGGGCAAACCAAAGCAGATATATGGGAGTTATTGAAGGTAATATATTCAATGGTGGTGCCAGAAGGATTCCTGCTTAGCTGCTTATCCTGTAAATACCAAATTTGAGAATGATTCTATACTTATGAAAGAAGAGGTACAGAATGAAGACAGTGACGGCATGTGGCAAGGCTGCACTCCTCTACGGAGAATGGTATCTAAATCTACAGCGAAGTGGGCTCCAAGTGTGTGCATGAGTACCTGGTTATGTTTGCGTGAGTAAAGAACGGAATGAAAATAAACGCTTCCCATGTTCGAAAATGTCCAAGAGTCCTGGTTAAATAGGGAGAGGCTAGAAAGGAAACGAATGCAGTTTTTCCGTAGCAGGTGATCTGGGCACTAGACTACAGCATTTTCCCTTAAAAATTCTTCCATCTGGAGCACTGTTGTCAAGATCGTCAGATTTGTATCATTAACTAAATCACTTCCTCTTTTCTTAAGTCCTTATGGCGACGGAGCGCTGCTACTTCGAGATGTGGTGCAGGAAATCACTGGATTGCAGATAACTGTTTGTAGCAATTGATAACAGCTGATAAAGCTCGATAGCACATTATGGATCGTTTCTTTCTTCTGATCCCGTTACCATTTTGATATGTTTCTTGGGATTAGGCAAAATGACATAGTATTTTGACAAGAATAATGTGAATAAAAAGAGTGGTGAGTCTTCATTATCTTTGAGGGGAAAGAAGTTCAGCCCATTTCTTGCTATTAAAATGCAACAAACACGGCTACCCGTGCCAGTCAGTGGGGTACCGTTCTCTTTACAAAACTTATCCGACCACCAATAATCTGGGAACATTAAACAATGGTTTATATCCGTAAAGATATCAAGTATCAAGAAGATCAAGGTTTTGATAGTGGTGTGACCAATGACCTCGTTTGGTATCATTCAAGGCTCAGGTTGACCAATCGGACTGTTGGGATGGAGGGAGGGTAAAGGGGAGGGGCCGTTGAGTTGTCCATCGGGATTTTTTCTCTCAGGAATAAATAATTGGTTCCTAAAGTTCCAAAGAGGTATGGAGGGATTGAGCAACGATGCATCCAGACTTTGTAAGAGATGGGCCCCGCTGGTAGATAAGCATCGTACGATAAATATTTCGTTAAGTGTGTCTGTTGGTTTGCAGGTGTGTTTAAGTATTCGTGTGATGTTTCAGAGGAAACTTGCTACTTTTGTTACCCTCAAACCTAGAGCATTTGAATTGAGAACGAATACGGGCGACGGGATGTGAACACCGATGGTAGGTGATAGGGAGCTGATAGCAGTTGATAGGAGGTGATAGGAGCCTCAGAAGGCAAGAAGCGATGGGTCTGTTAAGTCCTCGGTGTCATCGATCTAATTGCACATACGCTGGTGATGTGGGACGTGAAAGGTCGTAGGTGATTCGCATCAGGTATTGATAAAATGCGATAGAAGCTGAATAGCGAAAAGAGAATGCAAGGATCACGACTGACTCTGTAACGCGCTTCGTTTTGAAATTGGAACCACTGGCACTTTAGAAGGTGGTGAGGGGTGCAAAGGAGCCGTTGATAATTGGTGACATGATAATAAGTGATAGAAGAGGTCGATAGAAAGCTATAGAAGGTAAGATCTATTGAGCTGATTTCCTCCTTCGGTTTCGGTACACTTTGATATTTTGTGTGGGCGATTAACTCCATAAAAGTTAAACTATTCAGAGCGGCCACCTCCTTCCGAAAGCTCATCAAGTCGATCGGGAGTTTCGTGTCCAAAGGGCTCTTTATGGCCATGTGCCTGTACCTGAGGTCATTCTGTACAATGACAGGTGAGTGCTCTTTGAAAGTTGAAGTTGTAATTTTGTCGAAGGCGCATGAAGGCTCTATTGTAGTGGAGCTTTTTGTTATTCTTCTTTTTCTCCCTCTCCACGCACTGGAAGCAGTGTCTAGCGCGGAGGAGACGATGGTCCGATCCCGGGCAGAATTTCGGAACGACAGCGACGTCAGTCAGGCAAAATCTCTGAAAATGATGTGGTCTATTTCATTATGGAACTGTTCATCAGGTGACTCCCACGTCCATCGCAAATGAGAGAGCTTCTGGATCTGCGAGTTACCATGGATGGTGTGAGTCGATATGATAAACTCAGGCAGCCTTTCACCCTGCTCATTCCACTCCATTCCGTGAGTGCCGATGTGGAGCTCTTCAGCCGTACCTCTGGGGCCAAACTTGACGGTAAAACCGCCAACGATGACCTTGAAGAAAGCGTGATCTTCTCTCTAGAGCCTCTCCAGATCCATATACATAAAACGCCTTCAACTCCTCTTCTTCGTAGCTCGATGTTGGTGCGTAGGCAATGGACACGGTCAGAGCTGGGGTTGAGCTACATCCTCTTGATCGCAAACGTCCGATTCGAGTTGTTAAGCTTTCGTCCGAACCGGTGCAAGCGTCCACACGTTGAAAGTACAGATCGCCATCTTAGTCCTTCTCTTTATGGGCAGCCTGTTTTGGCCCTGAAATTTTAGCAGCCTCTCCCGAGCGGTCCTACCCAACGCTGCCGAATTGGGAGCTCTCTCAGGTTCACGGGAATGGGGCCCATTTCTATTGCTGTTTTTGCGAGTAGATACCCAACGTGAAGCTTGCCAGGCTCTGACGTGGAGGCTANGTTGACTCTGGGGGGCTTGCGAGGCTATCATCCCGAAGTGGAAAAGGACAAGGGGCTTTGTTTTTTAAGGCGGCCCCGAATCGCCTACCAGATTTTTTCCACCCACTCGGATGCAAGCTTTTGGCTGATTCGATGGGCAGGATACCAACTGCTCTCACAGACTGTCCACACACGTATGCGTGGATACGCCTACGAGAAAAAGATCAAACCATCAGGTCATCGTACTGACCGAGACGGGATGAGCAACAGCATTGCTAAACTGGATAAGGTGGTATTGTCTGCTTGGGAAGAAACCGTTGAGGTAATTATTATATTTCTAGTTTTGTTCAGGGCATGACAAATGGTATATTCGAACTAACCAGAAACCTTGTTGGTACGGTCGGTTTCTGCTTTCTGCATTGTGTCCACATGCGTTTGACATAAAATGTTTTTCAATCAATTGAAAAATGTACGCAGCCTACTAATTATTGAGGGGCTAGGTAATCAGAAATGTCGCATGCGTGATTAGTCATGGTGGTCATGCCATGCCGCCAAATTTTGAAGTTTCCACACACTTTTGCTACTCACTTATCTTAGAGGTTTTTTGTGACAGTAATTTTTCATTTGCAGCAGATTGTCGAATCTATAAAATTGAAGCTTATCTCAGTTTGCTCGATACTCCGTTCTACCTCATGGAATACACGAAAGGTCGAATATTCATGGATCCTGCATTATCTGAACAAAATCCAAGTGAACGAAAAGAAATTTATACCGAGGCTATTCGAACACTTAGTACAATCCACTCCGTGAACCACGAAAAAGTTGGGCTAGCTGATTACGGCAAAAAAGGTGCTGTTTCCTTGTGATTGGTAGCCGAAATAACAACAAAAGCTTTTTAGAGGGCTATATGAAGAGGAACCTCCAGCGCTGGGCGAAGAACTATGAGATGGCAAAGACTGACGACATCCCGGAAATGCACCAACTACACGACTACCTTCTCCAGAATATTCCTGAAGAGAACAACGACGTTGCGATAGTGCATGGCGATTTTCGGCGAGTTATCTTCTATCAAATTATTATAAATCACAGAGCATATTTTAACTGGACTTCCGTCCAAGGTTTTTATTGAGGCGCTTAGAAGGAGGTGAGGAGAGGGGAAGGGGGGGGGGGTCATATTTTCTGTGTGATAACGCAGAGCATCGTATCCTACTGCACCACACCCATTTACAGGCTCCGATTGTTCTTCACTTTTCCATTTTGTTCAGTATTTCATAAAACCCTTAAATTCCAGCTTGGACAATCTCATATTCCATCCAACTCAGTGTCGTGTGATCGCTGTATTAGACTGGGAGACATCTACAATTGGAGACCCATACGCGGATTTGGCTACATTTCTTTTTCCCCATTATAGTACCATCAAAAGCAAGGTAACCTTCCGGTGTATCGAAAATGTTCTGTACTGGTGAAGACCGAAAAATGTTTTGAAGGTGTTACCTGGCATGGGACATCATACTGAACAAGACTTCCATCGACTTGGGATACCAACCGTTCAGGAAGTTCTTGAGCTGTATGCCCGCACCAGACAAGTGGAACCGATTGATCCGAAAAAATGGGTCTTCTACGTTGCGTTCGTCATTTTCCGTTTTGCTAGTATCATTCAAGGTATCGATTGCATATTTTTTGAAATGTACTTCTGCTATATGTCCAGCCCTTAGCGGTGTTTCGATTGTTAGGCAACGCAGTATTCAGAAAATGTTGCCAAAAGAAGGGTATATCGTGGGCGGCAGCGCTTTTCCTCCAATGATTACCTTATATTCGAATGAAAACCACTTCAAACCAGTAGCGAAAGAGAAGGGATAGAAATAACTGTCTACTGCCATCTTCTCTTTTACCCATATGTTACATTCGAAGAGTGGCGGGCATGCCACATGGTGCACTATCCTTCTTATTCTAATTAAAACCCAACGTTCATCAAAACTTCCGGTAAGCTGGTAGTAGAGCAAACATCGGTATTACTAACATCGGAGTCAAAGTAAAATTGGATCGGTAATGTTCATGATGGACAAGTTAAGGTGGGAGAACGTCCGTTGCGCGCGTCCGTCGAAAGTAGGTCACCCCGCCCACTTCGCGCGCGGCGCACCCCTCTGAGGTCTCGAGACGACAATTCAGTACCACCAAGTGTCGGTGGAGCGAATGCGACCTGCGAGTCGTCCTGTACGAGCTTGCAGTGTTGGCGGCCACTGCCCTTCCGAGCCGAATTCCAACCCCTCTTCACGCAGGTCCCACTGTTGCTCCCTATTAGTCTAAATTACTGCTTATCGGTGACTTGTTTGTGTTCTTTTTGCCATTTTGTTTTCTTTGCTTTCC